GTTAGGTAAAGACAAAAGTTTGACAAGAACTCTGTTAGGTAAAGACAAAAGTTTGACAAGAACTCTGTTAGGTAAAGACAGAAGTTTGACAAAACTCTGTTAGGTAAAGATAGAAGTTTGATAAGAACTCTGTTATGGAAAAGACAGAAGTTTGATAATAACTCTGTTAGGTAAAGACAGGAGTTTGATAAGAACTCTGTTAGGTAAAGACAGAAGTTTGATAAGAACTCTGTTAGGTAAAGACAGGAGTTTGATAAGAACTCTTAGGTAAAGACAGAAGTTTGATAAGAACTCTGTTAGGTAAAGACAGAAGTTTGATAAGAACTCTGTTAGGTAAAGACAGAAGTTTGATAAGAACTCTGTTAGGTAAAGACAGAAGTTTGATAAGAACTCTGTTAGGTAAAGACAGGAGTTTGACAAGAACTTTGTTAGGTAAAGACAGTAGTTTGATAAGAACTCTGTTAGGTAAAGACAGAAGTTTGATACTAGTATAGGGATGGTACAAAATTCTCCACATGGATTCTTCAGGCTGCTCCTGCTGTTAAAGGTAGGGTTCTTTATTAATGTTGATCCAGAATTTTTTGTTTTCATATAGTTTATCTAAAAGAAACTCCTTGAGCAGTTTAGTGATCATATTTTTTTATTGTTGTTCTGTGTACATTTTAAATTTATAGTATTACGTGTTGGGATGAAATATGAATGCACATGATAATCATTTTTAATTACATAGAAATATTGTTTTTTAGATTATTTCTCAATATCACGTACATAAAGATATTTGTCTGTCTGTTTTAAAACAAAACCACATTGGGCTATCTGCTGTGTCGAGGATTGCATTGAAAGTCTGAGGAACTACATAAAAATGAAATTCAAAATTTTTTTTTAAGGATTTCAGTACATTGCGACGAACTGAAAGTTTGATTCTTCCAGACACACCTGTTGACCTTATAGCCTTTATGGTTATAAGAAACTCTCCATGTCAAAACAACTATTCTAAACCTGCGGGTGTCTTGAAATCAAGCTACGCAGAACTTTCAATATTTGCAGTTTTACTTGAACTATGCATTTTATTTCTGATCTTTGCCTCCCATGTTCGAAGAACTCGGTAATGATATCAATTGTTTCTGTGTTTCGTAGGGATCAAATTTCCAATAAAGACTTCCATGAAGTTATCCAGCAAATGGAGCAGAAGTTAGTGGAATTAATAGGAAAGCAGCTTGAAGAACGCTTTCAAAGAATGACAGCAGAGTTCCAAGCCAGTCTGCATGAACACTTCCAAACTTGTCAGCAACAGCTGATCTTACAAATCAAAGAGCTATTAGAGGGCCAGCTTAAGGCCCTAGAGAACCAGCTGACTATCAAGTTTAGACAGCGAATGGACGACTTGGAACAGAAGGTGTGTTGTAAGTTAGATGAACTCACAGAACAACTGAAAGATGACTCGGAGTAACAGCTAGGATCATCTAGTTTATCTCAAAGTTTCATATTTTTGATAGGTGGATCACTCTTCCTTAGATAAGATTGTATATACCACACCTTTTTTTGATAAAATGTTCAGAATTTTAGTAAGAAATCTGCTCTTTAACAGAGACTATTATAACTATTTATTGATGCTTTGTGGGACTGTTTTACTCTTGAACAAGGAAATTAAAGTCTTCCAACAATCACATTTGCTTAGTTTTCAATAATTTTAACATGACTGGTACACGGAAATTTTTCTGTGAAACAAAAATGACTAATAATGCTACCCTTGATAAAGGAATATACAAAATCTTTACACCATTAATGGCATAACGACGAAGAGTTTGTCAAATTGGCCACGGAACAACGTGGATACGGTATATTGCAGTATCAAACCTTTTTACAGCTCGTCAGGTAACTTATTAGTTTAAGGAATATGAAAGATTCAAATGAGTTTTTAAGACATATTTTTCTGTCAATCAACAGAGCTCGCTATTGGTAGATTCCTCTAATGGACTAGTTGTTGGGATCGTAACTCAATAACGTAAGACTTGGATGTGTGGAGTAATTTAAGGTAATAATTAGAACTCTAATTTTGATTAGTTCAATATTTTTTGCGAGTCATGTCACTAATCATATAAAGTGAACAACGTTGAATTAATCAATAATAATGATGGTAATATTTCGATTACCTGTATACTTGAAATAAACACTCATTTTGATTGGTCAATTAATTTACACAACACTAATCATTGTCTGTAGGTAATCAATTATATAAATTAATAGCCTAGTTATGATAGGTGGAAATAAAAATTTATTTAAATAGAATTGTCACTTAATATGAAATCTTGGAACGTTATCTGTATGATGCTAACATCTAATAGCTCCATTACACTAAAGATGAACTCTTGGAACGTTATCTGTATGATGTTAACATCTAATAGCTCCATTACACTAAATATGAACTCTTGGAATGTTATCTGTATGATGCTAACATCTAATAGCTCCATTACACTAAATATGAACTCTTGGAACGTTATCTGTATGATGCTAACATCTAATAGCTCCATT